AAGGCCTAGGCTGGTGCATGACAAAGAGACTTTGTCTACTTGTTTACTTTTGCATCTTTGAGACAATTATGTATAATAACTCTCCCAACTAAGTTCTACATAGTTATTCAACAGGAATTGTTTAAATTGTGTCCCCAGACAGGTCTTTGAAGTTCATTTATGCTGTTTTACTAGTTAAATATAGAGTCATAAAATTGTAATAGCCAATTATAAAAAGAAAATATACTTGCAATAGCAACACATGTTATGAAGTGCCTAGAAATAAATTTAACAAGAAATATGCAAGGAAACACTCCAGAAGTTTAATGGAATGTGAACAGACCCAGCAGAGACACAGCATGTCTTTTGATGGGAAACAGCAGGGAAAGAGCTCAGCACTCCCCATAGTGACGTACGCAGTTGGTACAATTTCCATTAGAATCCCACCCGTTTCTTTTCTGGACTTGACAGGTAGGCAGCACCATGTATCTAGAAGAGTGAAACGTGCATAAATATCAAGAATATTTTGAAATACAATAATGTAGAGGAATTGATTCTATCATTACCAAAAACTTGTTAAAAAGCAGAAAAGAAGTAAAACAGTGTGATAAAGACATAAAAAAAAATTAAGACTCCAGAAACAAATTTAGATATATAGGTTGGATTTACCCGTTAAAGGTAGCTTTTTTCTTTCCCTTCCTACTGGGAAAATGATAGCTTATTCGATAAATGGTATTGGGAAAACTACAATCTTAGCAAAGGGAGGTCCTTTCTGTGTGGGAAGACAAAAAAGAGAAGCTATAAAAGAAAATGTATGAGCTTAGCTATATAAAACTTTTAAGTTCTCAGCAGCAGAATACACTGGAAGTACAATTACAGTAGGGAGAGAAAATTATAGCCAACAAAATGTCAATGTCCTTAATAAAGAAAGATCTACACATCACTAAGAAAAAGACAATCTACTTGGGAAATAAATGAAGACAGTTACACATTTGTACAGTGCTAATCAATCCCCAGGTCCTTAATGACTTAAATATAAAGTCTTATCACAGCACATGTCAAATGCAAAGCAATACAAAGGGCTCTGTTGCACACAGCCATTCAAGGCCCCAGGCTAACAGATGCCATGGTTTGGATATGGCTTGTCTCCCAAATATTCCTGAGCTAGAGGTTTGATTGTGAATGCAATGATGTGCAGGATGGTGCGGCCATTAAAAGGTGGGAGCTAATGGGAATTGATTGGGTTGTGACTATACTCAGGGGTTAATGCTGGTCTCCTGGACTGGGTTGGGTCTCACAAGAGTGG